AAGAGATGCCCGACTGGCTCCGGAAGGGTGCGGGGGTCAAACCTCGTCACCTAGGCGCTACGGGAGGGCGAGCCAGGGGAGCCCGGAACTGTTGCTCCCGATCAAAGGAAAGGGATGTAACCCGCATCCTAGTTGCCAAACCAGTGGCGAGACCCCCTATCTATCAAGGCCCGCCAGAGGAAGACCCCCCGGTGCAGCCTCCCCCTTACCCAGCTAGGAACTTGGGAGGTCAGGCAGAGGCGCCTGAAACACCACCCCCTTCAGTCTCGCCCCCGCAGCCCGAGGCAACAGCGCCCCCAGAATCTCCTATTGCCTCCCGGTTAAGACACCACCAGTCCCTCCAGATGCCACTGCGGGAGACCCAGGGCCCGCCACGAACGGGGCCTGATGGGACCTTATACCCGGGACCGGTCGTGTTTACTATCAGCCCTTTACCACGACTGACCTCTTGAACTGGAAACACCACACACTCTCATATTCGGAGAAGCCCCAGGCACTCGTAGACCTAATGGAGTCCATTATGCAAACTCACCGGCCAACGTGGTACGATTGCCGCCAATTGCTCCTAACCCTTTTTAATACAGAAGAGAGGCGCAGAGTCTTCCAGGAGGCCCAGAGATATCTAGAAGCCAACGCTCCAGTGGGCACAATAGACCCAGCCCAGTACGCTCGGGTGGCAGCCCCAGAGACCCAACCCGACTGGGATCACAACACCGAACAGGGAAGAGCAGCCCTGGACCGGTACAGGGAAGCCATCCTCCAGGGGGTCAGAGCTGGGGCCAGAAAACCAACCAATATGTCAAAGGGGGCCAGTGTTGTCCAACGGCCAGATGAATGTCCCGGGGACTTCTTAGAAAGGCTCCTAGAGGCCTACCGGATATACACCCCCTTCAACCCAGAAAGCCCAGATACACGGCTAATGGTAAACACTGCTTTTGTCTCCCAATCGGCCCCTGACATCCGCAAAAAGCTCCAGAAGCTAGAGGGCTTTGCAGGCATGAACATCAGTCAGCTGGTTGAGGTAGCAAATAAAGTCTACAATAACCGGGAGGAGGCCGCTGAGAAGGCAGCCCAGAAAAGATTAGAGAAAAAGGCCACACTGCTAGCAGCCGCCCTCAGTCAGCCGGCAGCAAAAGGCAAAGGGGGACCGAAAGACCAGAAAGGGCACGCCAAGGTAGAGAGAGACCAATGTGCCTATTGTAAGGAAAGAGGACATTGGAAAAGAGAATGCCCGCACCGGAAAAAGAAGGCTGGTCCGGCGCCCTCTGAGCCGGCGCCCACCATCCTTAGCCTGGCGGGCCTAGACTCAGAATGAGGAAGACCGGGCTCCCTGAATCTAGGCCCCCATAAGCCCATGGTCGAAGCGATTGTTGGGGGCCAGACTCTCTCTTTCTTGGTAGATACCGGGGCAGAGCACTCGGTCGTCACCACCCCTGTAGCTCCCCCATCCGGACGAGAAGTCACCATCGTAGGGGCCACTGGTCAGCCAAGTAGCCCAAAACGCTTCTGCCAGGCCCAAATTGTTGATCTGGGAGGCCACCGGATTAGACATGAGTTCTTATACCTACCTGAATGCCCTGTCCCACTGTTAGGGCGAGACCTCTTATCGAAGCTGGGAGCTCGAATCACCTTCCAGCAGTCAGGGGAGGCCTCGCTGCAAGTGGACGGCCCTAGGCTCATGGCCCTCATTTTGCCACGAGAGGAAGAATACCAGTTGTATTCTGGGGAATCTGGTGACCATGGCCCCAGATCTGAGGCTAGAGACAACCTGCTGCAGGAATTCCCCACGGTCTGGGCCGAGGACAATCCCCCTGGACTAGCCAGAAACCAGGTCCCAGTAATAATTGAACTCAAACCAGGGGCTAAACCGTGCCGCCAGCGACAGTACCCTATCTCAAGGGAGGCCCGCCTAGGAATATCGGAGGTCATCTGAAAGCACCTCCAAGAGGGTATATTGGTCCCCTGTCAATCAACGTGGAATACCCCGCTCCTGCCAAACAAGAAACCTGACGGAACAGGGTACCGTCCAGTGCAGGACCTCCGGGTGGTAAACGAAGCCGTCGTCACACTGCACCCGGTAGTCCCGAACCCATACACCCTACTGAGCCGACTCCCGCCAACCGCCACCTGGTACGCATGCCTAGACTTAAAGGACGCCTTCTTCTGCATCCCGGTAGCTCTAGCCAACCGACATATCTTTGCCTTTGAATGGGAAGACCCGCATACGGCGGAAAAGACACAGTTGACATGGACCCGGTTGCCACAGGGATTTAAGAACTCCCCCACGTTATTCGGCGAAGCGCTAGCCCGGGACCTGCAATCTTTCTCAGACGAGGGAAAGGATTTAACTCTACTCCAATATGTTGATGACCTCCTCTTAGCTGCCCCCGACCAGAGCCGATGCCTAGAGGGGACAAGAGCGCTCCTAAAACTGCTAACCCAACAAGGGTACCGAGTCTCACGGAAAAAGGCACAAATCTGCCAACAAGAAGTCAAATATTTAGGGTTCCTAATTTCCCAAGGCAAAAGATCCCTAAATACAGACCGGAAAATGGTCATTACCCGCTTCCCGGCCCCGAGCGGACGAAGACAATTACGTGAGTTCCTGGGAGCAGCCGGCTTTTGCAGAATTTGGATCCCGGGGTTCGCAGCCAGAGCAAGGCCACTCTACCAGGCCCTGCGTGGGCCAGACACCTTACCCCTGGCATGGGGAAAAGAACAGGAACAGGCCTTTGCTCAAATAAAGGACCTCCTTTAGTAAAGCCCCAGCTCTGGGCCTACCAGACCCCAGCCGGCCCTTCTATCTACACGTGCATGAGAAGGACAAGGTTGCTCTGGGGGTCTTAACTCAACCAGCCGGACCTTGGGAGCGCCCAGTGGCTTACCTGTCTAAGCAACTGGATAACGTTGCGGCCGGGTGGCCCCCTTGCTTGAGGGCAGTTGCAGCCGCGGTATCCCTGCTACAAGAAGCGGACAAATTAACTTTGGGGCAGGAGACCACTCTATTCGTTCCCCATAGCATCCATAGCCTCCTGGCAGGACAGGGGCACCGATGGCTGTCCAACCCCAGACTGACACAATATCAGGGCATACTCCAAGAGAATCCTCGGGTCCAGGTAAAGACTGTAAAAAGATTAAACCCTGCAACCTTCCTGCCGACCGAACTAGGGGACCCAGACCACTGCTGCCTAGAGGTTACTGAGGTCTATGCCAGCCGACCGGACCTGCGGGACCAGCCTCTGTCCAATGCTGACGTGACCTATTTCACAGATGGCAGCAGTTATATGAGAGAAGGGGTCCGAGTGGCAGGGTACGCAGTAACCACACTTGACCAGGTGGTAGAAGCTAAAGCCTTGCCCTCTGGATGGTTGGCCCAGAGAGCGGAACTCTGGGCCTTAATAAGAGCACTGGAGTTGGCCCGGGACCGGAAAGTCAATATCTACACTGACTCCAAGTACGCCTACGCCACCCTGCACATCCACGGGGCCATCTACCGAGAACGCGGGCTGCTGACAGCAGAAGGAAAGGAAATTAAAAACAAGACAGAAATCCTGCGTCTCCTCGAAACAGTTTGGGCCCCAACTGCGGTGTCCGTCATCCACTGCAAAGGCCATTCCAAACAAGACACCATACCGGCCCGCGGGAACCAGAAAGCGGACTCGACAGCAAAGGCTGCCGCAGTATGTGGTGAGATGGCAGAAGTACAGCCCTCCCTTCTTGGACCCCTGCTGGGGAACCCCATTAACCGCTGGGACTATGAGCCAGCAGAAATGAAATGGGCCCAACAGGCCGGAGGACAAGAAACCCCCGAGGGAACTTGGAGGTTACCTGATGGGCGCGTATATGGGCCCCAGAGCCAGGCCAGCAATTTAGTCAGAAACTGCCACCATCTGACCCACCTGGGTAAGACCTCTCTGGAAAACTTGCTCAAAGGGTATTTCTACTTCCCCAACCTGTCAACCCTGTGCTCAACAACCTTGGCTCAATGCATTACCTGCTCAAGGAACAATGCAGCCCCGCATCAAGGGGCCCCACCGGGAGTCCAACACAAGGGGTCCCAGCCCTTCGAGGACTTCCAGATTGACTTTACAGAAGTCAAGACCAGCCGAGGATTTAAGTATCTCCTGGTCCTGATCTGCACCTTTTCGGGTTGGGTAGAAGCCTTCCCCACCAAAACTGAGAAAGCTCGGGAAGTAACCCGAATCCTACTCAGGGAAATTATACCCAGATATGGGCTCCCACTCACCATTGGTAGTGACAATGGCCCGGCGTTCATCGCCCAGGTGGTTCAGGAGGTCGCCCGGCTCCTGCGCATCGACTGGAAGCTACACACGGCCTATCGGCCCCAAAGCTCCGGTAAAGTGGAACGAATGAACCGAACTCTCAAGGAAACCCTAGCTAAGTTCCATCAAGAAACCGGCCTGCCATGGACAGACCTGTTACCACTAGCCCTGCTACGGGTTAGGAATGCCCCGAACCCCTCGGGGTATACTCCCTATGAGTTAGTTTTTGGAAGACCCCCACCTATAACTAGAATAGGAAGTCCCAATGACCTTCGACAGAAGGGGGAGTTACAGCAGACCCAGTACTTACAACAGTTGGGTAAGACCCTAGACAGGATCTACGGGGCCCAATTGGGCCAGGAACCCAAACCCCGAGGGAGGCCAGCACACCCCTTCCGTCCAGGCCAGTATGCATGGGTAAAGGATTGGAAAAAGGAACCACTCCAACCCATTTGGACGGGCCCACATCTAGTACTATTAACCACCACTACTGCCCTTAAAGTTACAGGAATAACCCCCTGGATCCACTACACTCGAGCCAAGGCAGCAGCAGATCCAGATGAGCCAGGACTTCAGAGCCACTGAACCTCCACCTCGAAGGGAGCCCCCACAGTCTGGCTGAAGAGAACTGAAGGACAGTGGGCCGTCTACCCGAGGAACCAGAGACCTGATCCCACCCCAGAGTAGTGACCAACCATCTCAGTCGGCAACCAAGGCATGGACCGTTGTCCCAGTGGTTATCTGATCATCGCCAGCCTCTCTGGAATCATCTTCGGTATCGGACTGATAGCCACGACACCCTCTGAATGGAGCCAGGCGGAGCGCGTAGCCCTCGGGGTCATATATCTATGTTTGTGTTACCTGTTTGGGTATCTGGTTTGCTTTGCTTGACCTACTCTGCCTCAGTTACCCTCCCAACATGTCAGTGTGGAGCCCCTGCTGAGCGAATCCCAATAGGAGGGGGGGTAATCCACTATCCTTTTCCCTTCGTCTCTAGCACTGATATGCCTTCAGGATGCATAAAGGCCAGCTCCATAAAATCTTGCCTCTGGAGGGGGCGCCAGTACAACACTGGAGTATTGGGAGGCACCTTAGGGTACCAGAGTCGGAAGTGCAAACCGCACAGCACCCCCGGTTGACAGGTCTGCTGGAATTCTCACATACAGCTAAGTAGCCTGTCACAATCAGAGTTTGAAAAGGTAAGGCTGAAGGCTGTTAAAGAGGTGGCCCACCGATTTAACCAGGAGGAGCCAACCTACCAGAGAATTAACCTTACCTCCTTTTCGAGGGCCAGGGCCATGGTGAACCCAGAGACCCAGGTAAAGCATTTAGTATCTGCCATATTCTCAGCTTACCAAACTATTAGAAACTCAACCCAGAACTGCTGGATTTGCCTACCCCTAGAAGAGCAAGGATATGTAGGAGTGCCAGTTCCCCCGAATTGGAATGAGACTAATAATCCAGCCCCCGAGAACCTGACTATAACCATTGGCCCTCTATCAGAGAGGGTGTTTCTGAGTTCTGAATATACTAACCTTACATGCCTGCAGCCGAATACGACAGGTGAACTCCAGGTTGGAATCCTGAAAGCCAATTTCTGCCAGGAGACCACCCTAGTATCCAAAAGTGCACCTTTATGCACTGAACCTGGCCTGTTCCTGCTTTGCGGGCACTCAGCTTATCGGTGTGTGCCAAAGGACTGGGACGGGCGATGCACTAAAGTGTTCCTAGTCCCAAGTGTCACAATCCGAACCACGGGAGAAGTCCAGCAGGCGCTCCAACACCAGGAGCCTTACCGGGTGAAAAGAGCAGCAGGAGCAGCTATTGCAATAGGAGCGGGCCTAGCTATAGGCATAGGAACCAGCGCAGGAGCCCTGGGTCTGTCAGCCACCACATACCACAAGCTATCAACCCACCTTAGCCAGGATATGGATCAAATAGCAGACTCACTTGCCACCCTCCAGCAGCAGATAAACTCCTTGGCTGAAGTATCCCTGCAGAATAGGCGAGCCCTAGATCTCCTCACAGCAGAAAAAGGGGGGACTTGCCTATTCCTAGGAGAGGAGTGTTGCTATTTTGTTAACCAATCTAGAATCTTAACCCAGAAGGTTAAGGAGCTGAAAGATGGTGCGAAGCGCTACCGAGAGTCAGGGCAAGGGACATGGAGCTTAGATACCCAAATCTGGCTCCGCTGGCTGGCTCCATTCCTAGGCCCCCTGATATTACTCCTCTTAGGAATAAGTCTAGGACCCTGGCTGCTGCGCACCCTCATTAATAACCTAGAGACTGCGGTCACCAGACGAGCCGCTGCTCGAGTGCTGCTCCTCCAGCATCACCGATACCAAAGACTCCCGACCCAACCCCAGCAGAGTGACCACCGTGGCTTGTGTGATGATGCTAAGACTCAGGCCAATCTCGTCTAGCATCAAAGGGGGGAATGATAAGGGCAAGATGATTTAAGAGGAGCAGCCTAGCCAGAGACCCCCTCCCAGGTTAACTGTTAATCATTGCTTATCTGCTTCTGTAGCCCGTTTTCACAGCCCTTCCCCCGCCTGGGTAGCACACATCAATCTCCCACCTGAATGCTAATCCCTTCCCCCACCTGGGAAGCCCATCCGTTTCCCGCCGGAATGCTAGGGCTTATAAACCCCTATCTAACCCCGATTCGGGGCTCAGAATTTGGAGACTGCCTCCTCTGAGCCAGCGCGTGTGAATAAAGGCTTACTCCGTTCCCTGAATCGTGTCTTGAGTCTGGCTTTCCGTAACAATTTTAAAAATACCCTTTCTTACACCCAGGCCTCATACACCCAGTCCATTAGCAAAAACTGTTGTTTTAATCTTCAGTATATTTCCCAAGTCTGACCACACTCACCACCTATATGAATCTGATATGATCCCATAACTAACTAATGAGATCTCTGTTCTCTGCTCTCCATCCTCCCCTTTCTGTATTTCCGACACAGCCAGAGAGTCCTTAACCTCAGGCCTCCACAATCAGGAGTGCTATGCTTGCTCTCTGCCCCTTTTTTTCTACCACCTTCCCCTTCCTTTGTGTTGCGCCAGCCACTCTGGCCTTATTTCCTTACTCCAGCACCCCACGCGCTCTCCTGCTACGCGATCCGATCCTTGCAGCTGCTCTCCCTGGAACGCTCTCCCTGCTTGGCTCGTTCCCTCCCTTCCACTTAGGGCTCGTTCACGCGTCCCTCACAGGAGCCCTCCCCAGCACTACCTCGTTGTAAAATAACCCCCTTCCATACGAAATCTACTTTATTCTGCTTTACTCTTCTTTAGAGTACTTATCACTATCTGACATCATATTATCTGACAACAAATGCATTTGTTCTTTGTCTATCTTGTCCACGAGGGAGGAAATTTTTGTTCATTTTTTCATTGTTACAACAATGTCTGGCATAGCTGCTTAATAACTATTTCACAACTAAATCAAGGTGGACTTTTATAGGGTTTGCTTAGAAATTAAAAAGAAATACTGTTGCTGGTATTTGCTCCTAGTTTAGCAACACGAGTCCTTGTCACTATGGGGATTTCTGCAAAGGTTTTGGACATTTTCCAAGCAGTCAGTGAGTATCAAGTGTGGTAATAGATGGCAATGATCAAACAAGAAGAGCTAAAAGCCATCTCTAATTTCCAGCTTTTCCTTTGTTCCGGGGTGAAGCCTCTAGCTTCGGTTAAGTGGCCTCTTCGGGTAGAACTGGAGGAAGATCGTGTCAGAGAGCTCTGGCAGTGGTTTCTTTTTTATGCAGATGACTCTAATTGCTTCTGAAGCACTCAGTACTTTTCAGAAATGTTAGTCTATTTTTGTTCTCTGCAGAGCCTACAGTAGCTATGATCTCACTTTTTGGTTGCTTTGTTTTTAGTCTTGATAAATTGATTTTGGCTAATAATAGTACAGCACAACAAAGATTTTTATTGATCAGTACACCATAGGAGACCATGAGGATTGTAGATTGAAAGAGTCCTATAGTCTTCAATGTTACAATGAATCTAGTTAAAGGAAATTTTAAGTTCACATTATTGTGAAAGAAAATTTAATTTAAAAAGCAGTAAGCTTTTATTTTTAATAAGAAAAAAATTAAGTACACCTAACAGATACTGATGTCAGATCTTTTCAATATTATTTCTAAATTTTCAAAGTATATAGCACAAACATAAAAGTCATCTTACTAAAATTAAATCTCTGTGAGAGTTGGTTTTAACAGACTGGGCTTCTACTGATGAGGTTGCAGAATGATATGGATACACTGATGGAAATAGTTATAACACCTAGTTTTTCCATGATGAGCTTTTAAGCTCTAATTAGACATCATTTAGTACATTTTTTAAAAAATGGTTCTTCCAGAGGATAAAGATTAAATAGGTTGTAACAGTGAGGTAGAGTCCCCAAACATGATCCATCTAACTTCTCACACTGACCCAAAGTAATAGTTCAAGTTGAAAGATGAAAAATCTGCCTCCTTGTTGCTGTTTGACAAATATGCCAAGACGGTGCCATATTAGTGCCTGTGATCCAGATAATTTCCTTTTAGATGAATTGGCATATAGGCTGAAAATGGTTCCTTTTCAAAGTAATCAATAAAGCTATGTTTATTTTCAATTTAAAAAATGGTCTATCAACATTTTTATTTCTCCTGAATGTCTCGGGGGAAAAAAAATGCATCCTCACTACTGCCCTAAAGAGAAGCCTACCTAAAGTAAAGCCTTTCTTTACTTTACTAACCTCTCCCCAGCTTGTTAAAGGTGGTGAGTGACCTCTAGAGGCAACTGGAAGAAGTATCCTGCTGTTTTCAGGAGTGCAGTGAGGAGACTTGGAAAGTATATCTTTCCATTTAGAGATTTTTTTTTTTTTAGTTTGATCAGGATGAATTAAAACATTTAATTTTTAAAAAGATCTAATTGCCTTTATTCACCAGTTCATGAAATGAATTGGGCAGTATCTCATCTAGTAAATAGAAAGGTGCTCCTAAAACATTTAATTTTAAAATTAGTTTACTGAACCTTGATTCAATTAGGTGCTATTTATGAAGTATATCATACAATGCCACAGGGGAGAGAGGAACATTAAGACCCTTCATCTCCATCTCACTGACTTACATTCTACTAGGGAACTAAGCATGAAGGCTAACATAACCGTAATACAAGCTAAAGTGTATGCGAATGCATAGGAGTAGCATAACTACATAGGAATTCAGATTTGTTGGTTAGGGTGTTCAGAATAAGTCCACCACATTCAACAAGCATTTACTGAAGACCCACTGTGTGCCAGGTACTATGTTAAAAGATAAATGAGACACAGTCCTTTCTCTTAGGTGCCGCCAGTATGGTAGAGAAGATGACACATAAATAGGACAATTCCATATGAAGTGGAAGGTGGACTGTTAGAATTACACGCAAAGGAGGGAAACTAAAGCAGCCTCAAGGCCAAGAAGAGGGTCAGAAAAAGCACCCTGGAGGAAGGAACGTCTAAGCTGATTCTTAAAAGACAGGTGAGAGTAGTTCTAGTTTAGCTTTGGCATCATGAGCCTACTCTAGCCAATCTCTCCTACGGATTACAACTAGGAACTCACAACAAAATGCAAATACCAACTGCCTGAGGACTTGGAAAGGTAAATAAAGGGGTCAATCCTTAGAAAATAAACTTGCATGGGGATAAGTTTCCTGGCTTTTCTTCTCCTCCCTCTCCTCCTATTAATCCTCACCCAAGGATAAGCTTATTGATATTGAGAGAGAGAGAGAGAGAGAGAGAGAGAGAGAGAGAGAGAGAGACATCAGTGTGAGAAACAGGCATCAGTTGCCTACTGTGCATGCCCCTACCAGGTATCTGACCAGCAACTGAGGTCTGTGCCCTGGCTGGGAATTGAACCTACAACATCTTGGTGTGTGGGATAAAGCTCCAATCAACTGATCCGTCTGGCCAGGACTTTCTTTTTCATTCTTATAGCTTTGTCCTATGGAAGGACCCCATTTGGTATCAAGGGTACCTAAAACTGAAAGAAACCCCATATTTCTTGTCCAAGGAACTGAGAAAAGAAGCCTCTGTGAATTGGAAAGTAGGTGAAGCCTGTGGGATGGAGCGGGGGAGGGAAGGTGACCCTTAGTTTTCTGTATGAACCACGCGAGTCTTGGGTGCACTCCTGAGTTGCACTCATGTGCAGGAGACCCAAAGGAGCCTAGCAAAGGCTTGGACAACTGGCCCAAGTCCCAGACTAACCCCCGAGTAGTGTGTGTTTAGGACGGATCCAGAGCACCGTACGGAGGCTTTGAAGACTGAACTGAGATTGCAGCCCATCACCCACCAAGGTAATAGGAAACTGGCAGTGTGAATTTGACCAGGTTGACTCTCTGCTTAAACAGACATACATTTTCCAGAGGAGGATTTTAACAGTATCCAGCATCTCTACAGTGTAAAGAAAGAGGTGAGGGCCTCTGACTAAATAGTCAGGTATTGCATGTTTTAAAAATACTGGGGCGCACTGGCTGTGAGATCGCTGGGTTATAACGATCACTTAGGAAGAAAGGGTAATGATTCTGAGACAGCAGATAAAAGAAAGAAGGCACTTGAAACAGAGGGGACAATATGACCAAAGGTAAGGAAGTGAGAAATAACGCGTGAAGAACTAGTAACAGTTTTGATGTTGCTGGAATATAAATGAGATAGGCAGGGCGAGATAGGAGGATATGGACAGTGGCAGATGAAATTAGAGTTTATGCTTAAGGAAGAGCTGAAGGGTTTTATATAGTAGATTTTCATTTCAGTTAGATATTTATGGGTAAAAGTTTTAAAAGTTGGCTGTGATATTAATATAGAACAAAAGCTTGATTTTAGAAACATCTACAGCAGCAATTTTCAACTGATGTGCTGCAAGCATTTTTAAAACATGCGGTACCTGACTATTTAGTCAAGGGCACTGACCCTTTTTCCCTTGATTGACAAATTTGAAAAATGACAACAGCTAACACAATATCTGTCCAGTGTGAGTGAATCAAAATGATACCTATTCCCTATTTTTTGTTACATAGACAAAAATATGTATTTTTGTGTACTGCAGAATTTTAATAATTAGTTTATGTGTGCCATGGGATGGAAAATGGTTGAAAATCGCTGGTCTACAGAAATAAAATTGGCAGGACCAGGTGATAAACCGATGAGAGAGAAAGAAGGGAGTCTCAAGGAAGGACCTCAGCTTCCTTATGACTGGGTGGATGCTCATACCAGCATGGGCATATCAGAATAAGAGAAAAAGAGTTCAGTTTGAGGTGATAAAGGTGAAATAAGGTGAAGCTTGAATTCCTACCAAATACTTTTTTTATTTTATTAGATCTCAGTGTGCCCATAGAACTGTGTTGCTTAAGTCTAAACTGCATTCTACAACATACAGAACCCTTTACAATTTGCACCTAACCTACCTCTCCCATACCATTTCCTATTCTGTTTAATATATATACCTTTCGTTTCAACCATATCAGCCTTTTCTTAAAGAGACTCCTCTTGACTCTGAAAACTAAAACAGGTTCTCTTAAGGTACAGCATCCGTGTACCTTCTGAGGCGCATTGTGAAGGGAATTAATGACTAAGTGGATGGGACTGGAGGGGTGGGTTGCGAGGGAAATGATAATGAGACTCGGGTTTGTAATCTGGGCGCCTAAATGGATGAGAGAGGATTGGGTGGAAAAGGATATTTCAGATAGACGGTAAAGAAAAATATTTACACATTTTGAGGCTGTGGTTTGGTCAAAGAGCAAACGGAAACAACGAGCTGGTGTCTGAGGTCTTTCCTTACCTACTGGCATAACTTTACTCAGGCATTCTGCAACCCTGCTCCACTTCCCTAACAATGGAATTATTTGCAGGGATTGGCGTGAGAGTGCGCTTGAAGCCGCAGCTTTGGTTCTAGATTTCTTCCTTGCGCTACTGTTACATTGTTCCGGTACAGTCACTGATTAGCTGCCTGGCCTGGGGCAAGATGCTACTTAATTCTCCACGACTTAATCCTCCTATCTGTAAAAAGAGGATAACATGGAATTTACAGTGTTATGAGGGATAAATGGCATTTTACACGTGCTTACGTGTGAGTTTCAACAATGTTAAGTGACAAATAAATGACAGATCTCCAAAGGGCGAGGGCAGGAATTTTAGAAAGTTGTTGAAGGACAGACTTTCGGGTTCCCTTTGCGCCCTAAAGGCCCCGGGGAGCGGACGCGAAGCCGTATCTTGCAATTCCTGTTCCTTATTTCCTTATAACAGTGCCTCCGTTCCCAGGCTGCAGCTCCAGTTCACTCCGCCAAGGGGCGCCAGCCCCCGGCTTCTAGGAATCCAGCTCTGCAGGGCGCTGAGGCTGGAGAGGAACGTCCGGTCTCCTAGGCAACGATGTCAACTTCCGGTTTGCGGCGAGGACTTGGTTGGCGAGTGGCCACATTTCCGCCACTTGATACGCGCAGGCGCCGTGGGTGTAGGAGGGCGCGCGTCTGCGTCCTGCAGCCACCCTCGGGTCCCAAAGTTCCACTTCTGAGCCTTGACAAGGGGCCGCCTCCAGGGAGGTGGCGCTACCTCTGACGGCCGAGTCTGGAGGCTCGAGGCCAGGGCGAGGCTTGGAGTTCCTGAGGCCCTGCTGAGAAGCCGGACCGTATCGAGACCGGTTCTCCCGAGCCGCCGAGCTGGAGTTGGAACTGGAACTCCGTGAGACCGGGGCTCCGGCTGCCGGGAAGCGGCTTCTCCAGGCTGAGGCCGGGGCGGAGAATGAGCCGGAGGCAGTGGCAGGCTCCCGGCGGAGCGGCGGCGGCGGGAGCTTGCTGCGCTGGTTCGTCACCTTGATCCTGTGTGCCGCCTTCCTGGGGCTGGTGAGAGCCGGGCTGGAACCCTCCAGGGCCGGGGCATGAGCAGACGTCCTGTGGAAAATGTGGTCTCGCCTCCGCCACTTGCAAACTGCGTGACCTTGGGCGCGTTAATCTGCTCGCGCCTCAGTTTTGTAATCTAGGAAATGGGCACAATTCTAATCTTGGAGTATTATTGTCAAGTGCAAAATTGAATTTCCAGATCCAGCAAACCTTTCTACCCCTCCTCCGTGGAGTGGGGAGATGCAAGAGGGGGTTCCAGGTTTATAGGCGCTGTCCTCCTCTCAACCTCCAAACCAAATTACTACACAAAGCTGCTTTTCTGGGTTTTCTCTTCCTTTTCTCACCAAATTCACCGAACCCCTTATTTTTGCAGATAGGGAAATAAAGCCAGAGAGGGAAAGTGACTTTTCCCGACGACACTCCCGGTTAAGCGGTAGAGCCAGGAATAATCTCTTATTTTGCCCACAATCCCATGTAAAACAAACAAGATCCTTCAGTGTTTTTCTTAGGGCAAACTGAAACGCTAGAAGCTCCTTTTGCCAATCCCCTTGGCCTCCCTGCGATTCCTTTATTTCCGGAAGCCTATTCCTCATCACTTGTCTTGAGTATTGAGACCCTGGGGAGTTGGGAGGGTGAGTCCTCTGAGGAGAGTCAAGTCTTGAGCCATAACTGATTCTTAGAATATTTTGATTTGAGAAAAGAAAAATTGCAGACACTTGGTGAGCCCTGACTCGGTGCCAGATCCTGTTGTAAACGCTCTGAAGGGAGGGACTAATTTGATTGCAGCCAGGTTTAGCTCCTCGCCCCCTCCCCCAGGGCTTCCTCTGCCCCTGTGCCCCGGCGCACAGGCCCTTCCTTGGGGACTGCTGCTGTCTGGGCAGGGAGCGCACCCAAGCGTTTAGAGCAGAGCAGTGCAATTAGAGTAAGTTGTTCTTGGCATGTAGACCAATTAGAAACATTTTCTCAAGTTTCCTCTGAAAGCCAACTGTAACCGTTAATTCTTGCTTACATTACATTGTCTTTGAGTAAAATTTTATTTTTGACACATTTTGTAACGCTCACGAGTTTACTCGTTTTTCACGCGCCATCTGTTAGGGACTTTAGATGTCAACACTCTGTCTTGTCCACATCGAAATGAAGCGATCTCATTGGTGGAAACCGTGCAGGTCAATCTATGGAAAACTATATAATTGCACGAACCCATAAAGCATTGCAGTTACATTGTATTTTGGTCATTGACACTGGTGTATGTCTTAAGAGATTTCTATGTGATAAGCAATGTGTTAAAATCATTGTATACATGTGTATGTAATACTTTGAAAGAAAGCCTTAGAGACTGCATTTCTGATGGCAGTGGGTTTGTCTTTGAGGAGAAACAGATTTAGGGGAGGGCGTGGGTGGAAGTGGAAGAGAGTTTAAGGGGGATAAATGGTAATGGGAAAAATACAATGAAAAAACCCAAACACACACACAAAACATAGATTTGGAAACATATAAATTGTTTATCTCCTGCATGTTTTATGTGCTGTAATTCAAAGGCAGGACCCCCATGTGCATCCAGAAATACTGCTGTTTTAATAACATCAAAAAATGGGATTACTATTTTCATGGTTTGATAATTAAAATTTTTAATATCTAAATTCCTGTGTTAGCTATTTGTGCATGTAGTACATTTCAAAATTTACAAAACTATTTCAAAAGTTACTTTGTTACATTTTACTATTAATACAAAATAGTCATTTATGATACTGTCCAAAAAGGAAGCAATTGTAGCAAAAGCCAAAAGAATTTAAGTTTTTAAAAATTGAGAATTGTCAAAATTAGAAAAACAGTAGGAGTAGGCACGCCCGAAATGGGAGTCTAGCTCTAGCTGTCCTAACATTGTCATTGTGAGTTGTTCCTGATCGTGGGACTGAAGGCAGCCCTTGGCATCACGTTGACAAACCCCCTCCTCCCTTTTTAATAGTGAAAAAAAAAGATACCAAATAGACATTATTTTAATGATTATAAATAAAACCTTTTGTCTTCCAAAATTTAAGGGATTGAGTGTCTCTATCCTGGGACCCACCTTTCAAGATTTGGCAACAAATGTAAACCATAATATCAGCAGTCTTTCTCTGATTTTTGTGGGCCGTGCCTTTGGATATTTGAGTGGCTCTGTGATTGGCGGAGTTCTTTTTGATGCTATGAATCATTTTCTACTTTTGGGTAAGTAAACACAAATTTTACCTTCTTTATGTCTTTCAAGGAATTTACAATTTGTTTTTAAATGTGAAACATACTAGCTTGCAAAGTGGTTGATGACTTTTAAGTGGGTAGCCTTAGGTGAATGCAGGAGAAGCCAGGTTTCCTGCTGCCTGCTTTCATTGTATCAGTTACAGGGAATCTGGGCTGGGCTGCTCTGGCCATTTAGATTAGCCCTAGAGTGGGTTAGTGATCCTTGGCCTTCCCAACTGCCACTGACTGTAATTTAGACACCACCCCTGGATCACAAGCTAGTTACCTGAAGAGCTCTGCTTGTCAGAGCATGAGGCAGATCTGGGGCCACCATAGATGAGAACGAATTCCTTGAACCCGCCCTAGCTAAACCCGGGGCTGAGAATGAAGGAGGGTGGGGGGTTGGGAAATGACGTAGGCTAAATTTTTGTCCTTGCTGCCCCATGTCAGCGACGAGCCCACGACGAGCAAGGGTGAGACTCCTCTGCCTCACCCTTGAAATAGATGGCGATGCTTTTAACTTAACTTTAAAAAAAAAAATTAATTGACATGTTTAAAGAAAGTTCAGATTAATGTGATAAAATTGCTTTGGAAATAAGGAGAATAGTTTATTATGTAAAATAATAGTTAATTATTATAAAATAATCCTCTGATTTCCAAAGTGGGTTGAAAGAATATATACTTCTTTGATTTCCCTCCCTATCCCCCAGACTAACTTATTTAATCCATTTCTACTACACAGTACTATAGTAATTGCATTTTTTTTTTTTTTTTTTTGCCTCAGATCTAAAATTCTGTTTAGGTCCTTAAATATGAAATATTTAAGTAAGTAAGTAAGTTTTGAGTTGTCTATTTTGCAATAAAACTTTGCCTTGTGGTATAATTTATAATTTGATTATTAGTACTGCTAGAAATATGTTCATGTTAGAATAATTTGTATAGTCCATAAAGATTAGAAAAGCTTTTAAACGAGATGAGCGCCTGTGCTGAGCCTCTCCGATGCTGACTTGGTCCACGCCTCTGCGCGAACACCGCTTCTGATCGCTGCCTCTCCCTTTCTTCCCAGGCATGTCGATGCTGGCCACCACAGTGGGTCTTTACCTCGTTCCGTTTTGTAAGAGAGCAGTGTTACTGATTGTCATGATGTCCGTCTTTGGTGTTTCAATGGGCATTCTGGATACAGGTTAGTAAGCCTTTCGCTGTCATCCCTGGGAGTGGGGACTTTCTACTAGAAAAAATGGAGCAGATGATATTAAATTGTCACTTCTAGACACTGACCTGCTGAGTTGGTTATGGGGTCACCCAGTCAGAATACCCTTCTGGCACCTACTTTTCTTGTCAAGCAGAGTCAATTTAAAGAATTTTGTTTTCTGAGAGATTGTTGGTTTACAGTATCCAAACAAGGAATCGTTAGCTAGCCCCCATGTGGGTGCCTGCGCTGGGGATAAATGAATTTGGGATGGAACTTTATCGCTGTGGTGTGGGAAGAATTACTTAGATGAGGAATCATAGAAGCAGCTCTTAAATTTAAGGTGCCCTCTGCCTTTTGAACTAAGAGAAACTTGTGCCAAATATTATGTTCCTTCTCTTCCTTTTCTCTCAAAAGCTTCTGCCCTCTTGCAAGGAGACCCTCTCTATGTATCTTTTATCTTGATATACTTTATTTTATTACTATTTTCTTGACCCTACTCCTCCTCAAATCTGGTCCCCTCCTCTAGCTCGATGTGTTTTAAAACCTACAAAATAACATTCATGACCTTTGTTCGCCCCTAAAACCAGCTTTCTCCCCCTCTTCCCTGCTCTACTGTTATTTGATAGGTTGAGGAAATATTTTATACTTTAGGCTTAGTTTGGCTGTAAAATTACAAGGTGGAATTTATCTGCAGCTATATTAAAAAAAAAAGAAAGAAAATTCAAGACTTGATGCTTCTTGCCTTTCACCCTACCAGGTGTATAGAGGGAGCAAATGCAGATGCTAGATGGCACCCTTGCTTCCTGTGGTGGGCACAACGGGATCCGGTAGCATTTGGATTCCTGAACGTGTGCTGTCCTCTGTCTGCATAAATAATTTTCTTCAAGTGGCTACCAGTTGAAAGTACAGAAAGAGTTGGTAATTTGGCCACTATCTGATAACATATATTCAAAGTATTAAACATAACTATATGAATATTCCCCTCTCCCCCAGCTTGGTATTGGAACTGTATTATAAGAAGCCTTTACCAACTGTGCCTCCAGGAGGTGGTGTTTTACTAGCTCGTAGAATTCCATTTGTGAACTTTTCATGTTATAATGCGTAGAGTTCTCTGGTGGTGGTGGGTTAGAGTTCCTTAATCATTGAATTAGCTTAGTTGCAACATTTGATAACTGAGAATATTATAATCTTTGTGCCATGTAAAATAGACTCATCTTCTTTCTGATAGTAATGAACTGTTTTTTACTAAGGTATATGATTAAATAATTTTTCCCATCTTTCATTGGTAGGTGGTAACGTTTTAATCTTGGCCATTTGGGGGGACAAAGGAGCCCCGCATATGCAGGCCTTACACTTCAGTTTTGCCTTGGGTGCCTTTTTGGCCCCGCTGCTGGCTAAGCTGGCCCTGGGCACGATGGTGTCTGCCGGAAACCGCACAGAGGCCAACTTCAGCCATTCTCTCGACCAGCCATCGGAAGCGGACCCAGGACCTCTGTTCGGAGTACCTGACAATGTGAATTTACTGTGGGCTTATATTATTATCGGGACTTATATTTTTGTAGTTTGTATATTTCTTTTTGTTCTGTTTTTAAAGAAAAGCTCACAGCAGGATAAAGCAAAAGCTTCTGCTCAGAGATCTCGAAGAGCTAAATATCACAATGCCCTTCTTTGTCTCCTTTTTCTGTTTTTCTTTTTTTATGTTGGAGCTGAGGTAACTTACGGCTCTTACGTTTTCTCATTTGCAACCACCCATGCCGGCATGGCCGAAAGTGAAGCGGCTGGGTTGAACTCCATCTTCTGGGGGACCTTTGCAGCCTGCAGGGGCCTGGCGATCTTTTTTGCTACGTGTTTACAACCTGGGACAATGATTGTGTTGAGCAACATTGGCAGCCTGGTGTCATCTTTATTTCTGGTGCTTTTTAACAAGAGTGCAGCTTGTCTGTGGATAGCAACCTCAGTGTATGGGGCCTCGATGGCAACCACGTTCCCCAGTGGTATTTCTTGGATTGAGCAGTACACGACCATCCATGGGAAAGCGGCAGCATTTTTTGTAGTGGGTGCTGCCCTGGGAGAAATGGCTATTCCCGCAGTCATCGGAATTCTTCAAGGAAAATACGCTGATTTACCTGTAGTTTTGTACACCTCTTTGGGGGCAGCAATAGCCACTGCTGTTTTATTTCCTGTGATGTATAAATTAGCCACCTCACCTCTCCATCGTCAGCAAAAAGAACACAGAAAAAGTGAGGACCAGAAAGCTTTGCTCTCTAGCTCTGGACTAAATGACTATGAGGAAGAGAATGAAGAAGATGATGCAGAAAAATGGAATGAAATGGATTTTGAAGTCGTTGAAATGAATGATACAATGAGGAGCTCTGTAATAGAGACATCTAGAAGTATTTTGAGGGAGCCCACAGCAGAAGTCTCCAGCCAGTTCCACTCAAATGCATTAGTGTGTGAATTCTCCCCGGTTAATACTGGCAAGTCCCCTGTGAGTCAGCTTGCAAGAAACCAGGACAAAAGGGACTAATACTTAGCAAAGGTGGATTTACTGACTTTCTGAATAATTGCCAGTTCTCAAGAGGTCAGTCAGAGCAGGGCATTAGCAGATTTTCAGCATGCTTTGGGGATCCAAATGTCTAGGTCAGAGTATAGCAAATGCTAAAAAGCTTTGACATGTTCTGTAATTCCCAGAGCCTTCCATGAAGAACCGGTGGTGTCATGTTGCAGGATCTTGTGAGGCTAGTGTTTGGCCTGTGGCTAATTAGGTAATATTTTATGGTCTTCACCTCTCAGAGCATGCAAAGAATATTGATTAATAGAACAAATTATCCATCATCTGTATTTTACCAGGGAAGTTGCAGACAGTCATTTCATAATACAGCCTCTTTGAAAATTGGACAGAGATTGTTATTAATTATTTTACCCTGCCTGTAGCGTTGGACCACAGGATGCTAATGCCTCATTTGATTTTGAGTTCCACGAAGAGAACACAGCACAGGGCCTTAAAGACATGGCCTCAAGCCTTGACTGCTGCCTCCAAGCCTTATGGCCCTTACGGCCCTGCGCTCAGTCACTTAACTCACCCAGGCCTCCTTCATCTCACCTTTTGCTCTGTGATTACCTGATACTTTGAGTCACACACACCTACTTTCTATAAGTGAAAATGAGACGATTTTCAAACTAGGAATCCATAAGTTTTAATGTTTGTGTAAGATATCTGCTAGAAATTAATATAAGTGCCACACCATTCTTCATTTCAAGTGAGAGGTGAAACAAAATTGATAGCTTCAAGAATGTGCTGCTGATTATGAATACATTTCAATTTAAGAAACTCAATGTTTAATGCTTTATTTGAATTATCTGAGGAATACATTTTTTAAGTACTGTATTTCATCGATTCTAAGATGCACCTCTTTTTTTCTTCACATTTTTAACATCTCTGAAATCAGAATGTCTTAAAATCAATGATCATTTAACATTGTGGCACATTTAATTGAAAGGTTTTTTTCCATCTATACATAAAGTAATGTTGCCTTTTACAATCAGTGTTTTAGATTCTGTGGAATACAGTATTTCATTCAATTATGGAGATTATTTTTAGCCATTTTAAAAAGAAAAGTTATTTTTATATGCTAATTTTCTCTTTGTTCACATGAGATTTGGAAATGCCATGTTCTGACTTCAAAGCTGTTTGAGAGTTCCTACGTTAGTAGTAGGACAGAACAGGGTCTCTTGAGGTCCTTTGCCTACCTCAACAGCAGAGTCTGAGCCTGAGCCTCGCTGTTCCAGAATTTGCTCCTTGTTGAGTCTGGGGATCACACTGTAAGCACTGAAAACCAAGCTGCTAGTTTCGTGCACAGTCAGGCACAGCTTCTGGTGGTGGGAATGCTTGAGTCACCCATCCAGTGCCCCTCCTTCCAGAGTCTGAAACACCTAGGAAACCAAAGTGATAGCGAGAGAGCGGCTTGGTGGCCTAGGAGTCAGGGATCACAAAGGGTACTTCCTATGAAGGCGGCAAAGCTGGTGTGGGCCACCCTTTGAAAAATGACTAGCATTGATGACAGATTTTGTTCACATCTCTTCACCACATTTTATGCTGAATAGTATGGAATTTCTACCTGATAGCAGTATGTCTGCTTTTTCTTAAATATGTAAATTTGCCTTTGTTTTTTTTATTACGTGAATTACAGTGCTTTTCTTGACCCTACCCATTCACCTTATATATCTGCCAGTATATTAATTCATGTTAAATGATTTGACAAGTTTGGACAGGGCTGGTGGAGAAATTGACAGTGAAAAGCCTATGCTTCTCGCTCTTCTTATACTATAGTTTCCTCCTAGCTGGAACTTGGAGGGTACCTCTGTGCCATTTACTGCTTTTCCTTGGGTCGTTGGAATTTAGGCAGTAGCAGCTATTTGGCTTGCAGAACAGGGATTCCGCCTGCAATATCCACATTTAAGGGCGGAAGATGCAGCTCAGGGAGAGAAGGATGTTAATAAGAACATGGCAGAAAATTTAGAAATCCACACTGGAAAATCCACCAGAGTCCCTCAAACAAATGTGAATGGCAATATGAGATTATAGGTATTGTTAAAGTTTGATACTGTATTTCCATATTGGAAGAGTAAAACTTAGTACAATTCCAAGAATTAGCATTCATCCTCATAATCAATTCTTAGGTAAGTAGCTGCTGATATACAAGTAACCAATACCGAAGTTTTCTATTACTGTGTAACAAATTACGACAAATTTAGCAGCTTAGAATATTTTTTCTCTCACAGTTTCCTTGGGTCAGGCATTTGGGCGTGGCTCCCGGGTCTCCCAGGGCTGCGATCAGGCTATTGGATAGAGCCCCGCTCCTCTCGGGAGCGTGGGGTTCTCGTCCAGGCCCATGTGGTGGCTGACAGTATTCAGTTCCTTGCTGGGGGTGGCTGAGGTGCCTGTGTTTTGCTGGCCCGCAGCCAGCACGGGTGTTAATTCTTGGAACCTCCCACAGTTCATTGCCCTGTGGTCCTCGCAGCTCCTCTCACAACCTGGCAGCTTCTCTCTTCAAAGCTAGCAGGAGCGTCTCTTGCCTACCAAGAATTAACTAAGATGGTGTCTTTTATATAAAAGTGTCATCACGGGAATGACATCCCATCACCTTTGCCGTATCCTGTTATCTAGAAGCAAGTCACAGGTTCTGTCCACATACAAGGGGAGAAGCTAGTACAGAGATGTGACTATTGGGGGTTATCTACTCAGGCACCTGCAACATAAGATTTGAAAGAGTTAAAAAGTTTGAGCTGGGGGAAAAACCCTCAGCAGGCACTGAGAGCGATTACAAGTAGAGGTCACGGAGGGCTCTTGGGTGAGAATGGAAGGCTCCCCATCGGCCAAAACCTGTTAGGGGAGAACCTCTTTTTGTTTGTGGGGCACTGGGTGGGTTAATTCAGTTATGCTTTCTTTTCCTTGACGTTTTATTTAAAGCCCTTTACCGCTGTGCTTTTTAACGTGTTCAAATGCAGCTTAATTTGAGGGAAACAGGTAAATTTCAGCTTGGTTATGTTTTCATAATAAAGTGCAAAAACATTTTGAAAGCATTTTTCCATTATTTTTTAAAGAAAAATCTTTTTTTGAAAAAGTTTTTATTATAAAAGTGATGCAGGTATTAAAAAAGGTTATGGTAGAAGATTAGGTAAGTACATAAAAATATAAGGGACAAGTATAAGTAATTCATAATCCTAAACACCTAGAAAAGTTCTTACATTTCTCATCAACCTAATTTCCTAAGTAAAGGGTAAAGGGGCAAAAAAAATTTTTGATAGTATCAGAAACAACTTGACTTTTGTGTCTAGGGTACATTGACACTATAGTTGGCGGACTGGTTATTAGCTTGAAGAATTGTAGTTTATTAAACAAACAAAAAAACGATAGCAACACAGTCCTGAAAAATGTGTGAGACCCAGGTTATATATGAAATGATTTTGTTTCAGGTAGATTCATTGAATAATTAGAATGATTTTCTCATAACCAGAATTTTGGGTTGACCATAGTAATGTATCAATCCCGTCACTTAACAGTTATTAGTAAAATAGAGCTTAAAATTTTTAATGGAAATAGATAACTTCTGGGATGCTCTCTGTGTGTGTTAAGTACCACTTTTTCATAGTGTTGTGAGCATGTGTGTGTGTTTACATATGCGAACCCACAGATATTATGTGTGCTTGATATTTTCTGATATGGTGGGGGTGCACTGGGGTTAGAGTAGTAGGAAAGGTATTAAAAATAAAGCTTTACGGTGGGGAGGTTAGGCGGTGGACAGTTTGAGCAAAAAGGAAAAAGGACACATGGACATGGTCAGCAGTGTGGTGACTGCTGGGGGGAGGGGGTATAAGGGGACTAAATGGTAATAAAAAAATACAATAAAGATTAAATCAAAAATAAAAAGCTTAAGATGTGATTCAAATTGTGTGAGAAATATTCCTTTACTGAGATTATTGTAGATTTACATGCGGTTGTACATAGTGGTTTTTTCAAATTTGCTGTTTGAGAGAGACTTGCTCAGTCTGAAAAGGTGGAGAATTACACTAGTGCTTCTCATACTTTAATGCTCATTAAAACTGCTTGTTAAGCCCTGGCTGGGGAGCTCAGTTGATTAGTGTCATCCTGATACTACAAGGTTGTGGGTTTGATCCCTGGTCAAGACATGTAACAAGAATCAACCAGTGAATGCATAAATAAGTGGAACAATATACTGATGTTTCTTTCTTCCCCCACCCCATCAATAAATTAAAAAACTGCTTGTTAAAATACAGATTCTAATTCAGTAGTACAGATTCCACATTTCTTACTCCTTTTTTTTTTAAGATTTCATTTACTTACTTTTGGAGAGGGGGAGGAAGGGAGAAAGAGAGGGAGGGAAACATCAATGTGTGGTTGCATCTTGCGTGCCCCCTATCAGGGACCAGGCCTCCCCCAGGCATATGCCCTGATTGGGGATTGAACCAGTGACCCTTTGGTTCGCAGACCAGCACTCAATCCACTGAGCCACATCAGTCAGGGTGAGATTCCACATTTCTACCATTTCCAACAATCTCCTAGTGATGAGGAGCTACTGGCCCATAGGCTCACCAGACTTTGGGTAGCAAGTTCCACTTTTTGGGAGTGTCGAGTTCTTTACTACTTCTGGGAATTCAGTTTGTTTTGTTTTGGCTTTCCTAAATTTGGCCCTAAACCTTTGGGAGTCTGCAGCCCCGGTACACCCCCTCCTCACACAAATGCTCCAGGACTTCGTTTTCTTCAGTCCTCTCCATTTATCACACTGGCTGTTGAATTCGTACTTCACATGTTGATTGATCGCCTCCCATCCGGCAGCCTCTGGGAGGTGCTGAGTGTGCCCTGGTGAAAAGAGCAGAAGGTTCCTGCCTTCGTGGGCCTCCCCGGGCAATTGTGCGCCGGGCCTGCCCGCTAGGGGAGCCCGCGCGGTGGGAATGTTCTGTGCCTGGCTGGCCAGGGGCTGCTGCCGCATCTGACCAACTGAGCCCTTGAAAGGTGGCTAGTATGATGCAGAAAATGAATTTTTAATTTAAATACAAATTTAAATAAACTGGCTAGTGGCTCACATATTGAATAACCCAGGTCTAGTGGGAGAAACAAGGCATTAAGTAATCACACAAGATGTTCCCAACGAGGTTTTATTTCCTGTTGTACTAGAAATTATGATATCTCTAGAGTCAGAAAAGCCACGATAGATTCCTTGCCAAATGGCATAATATAAATTATCATGGCACTTAGGAGAGGCCTGGTTATATTAGTGAAGGGATGGCCTGGAGGAATGTTTTGAAGTTGTTCTGAGTTTAAACTTGTGGAGGCTCCAAGGTGCCCGCTCCCCACCCAGAGGGCCCCCTCTCCACGCCTTTCCCCGTTGCCCAGGCAGGTGCTGCTGGGCCCAAAAGGGCAGCCCCCCTGTCTGCGCTGTACCGGGAGTTAGCGCTGGGCTTCGTGAGTGTTTGCTAGTGGATGTCTGAATGGGATGCAAATTGTCAGGCCCTGGCCGCGAAGGTCTGGTTTATGTTTTGAATCGGAATTGGAAAAGAATCACACCAAATTGCAGAACTTCTTTAAAGAGCTTACAAGACAAGGTTAGTAGTGTACTGTTTGACTTTTTACCGAGGCTAAAGGCTTTGTCCTCCTAGGGTAGCATGAGTGAGCCACAAAAGGAACCTCAGTGTGTAAGAGACATTATTACAGCTCTCATCTCTCTGGACCAGAAAGATTTCCAACTCCACACGTTTCAGTCATTTAACAGGTACTGTGCACGGCCCATGTGTCGTCGTCACCCTGGGAATGTAACAGAGGGCAAGGCTGATGAGATCCTTGCCTTCACCTGGCTTATGTTTTACTATTTCAATAAGATTCGCTCTGACAACTTTCTGCTGGCTGAAGAGTCAACCAATCTGATCATAATAGGTTTTA